TCGTGGGGCGGACGACGGAGAACGTGCCCAAACCACCTCAGTCGCCTTTCTTAAATGGCCTGGGATATCCTCGCGGTATCCTCGTGGGACAGCGATCGTGTCGTCTTGTACTTCTCAATTAGTTCCTGGGACTCGCATGTTCGCTTGTATTACTATTACTTTGTTGTTTTGCATGGGCATTTTCTGTACAAATTCGATTGTTGCATTCTGTCCCACGTTCCTTGTGTTATGCAACGAGAGAAAACGGGTGACGAGCACTCGCGAAATTTCTCGCTTCCAATATATTCTGTAATACTTGCATGTTTTCAAACTGCAACAAGAGCAAAGTCCAAGGAGCCTTTCTTGTGGAGGAAACAGCCTTCTCACGTCCTTCACAACCTGGCAGAGCCTCAGGTGTGGCGGCTGGAGTTAAAGGTTGGTTGGTTGCTTACATTGAGGTCTGTTGAACGACTCACTGTGCCAAGGTTATTCATTTTCATTACAGACACGCTGAACTTACTGTCTGAGTAAATGCAAGCAACACGCTTATAGACGCACATTCAGGCAGCCGCAGCCATCCCTGCGTCTCTTATAATAAAATACACCATCAAGCGCCGTGTGCACTAAAACAGATCGGGCCTACGGAGTTTAGTGCAGGAACTACAAGAACCAAGACGGTAATATCGCAGTAGGGTGGCAAGGAGCGCCCGTGCAAACGCCGATGATTAGTGCTCACGGACGATGTGTCAGAAGTGTAGAGTACTCTTGAAAAAAATGGTTCAGATAAGTCGTTACCCTGCTGAGGAATGTAGTGTCAGCTTGTACTGCAATGGTAGAAACTTGTTTCGAAGAGGTCAGGACAAGAAACTTCTTACTTTTTGCGGCAAAACGATGTTTTCAATAATTAATCAATGGGGACTGTGCAATAGCATTAATAATGAAAATAGGAGAGCTGAACAGGCTTTATAAATGTTGGCCCTTAAAAAAGTCGGTGGCTGTCCAGTTGACAACCTGGAAAAGCTTCATTGGGATCGACTCGGTGATTCGTATCGACTGTGTGCGAGAATAGAACTTGAGATCGATATAGCTTCACCTTTACTCAGCCAGGCCGGTATGTGTTCACGCCTCTCTTTTATAGGCGCCTCGTTGTTTGACCAATTCATTCGGCTCCATAGGAGCTATCAAAATAGTAAATACACAGAGATATAGCCTTCAAAGGGAGTGGGTCTTTATCTCGCAAGTTTATGAGAAGAGAGTACGTGAAAAACACGCGTACGTTCTCCACGAGGAAAGAGTTTGTGATCGCCGTCTTCAGGCGTCTTCTTATCAGTTTGCTTGTCGCATTGCCTAAGAAAGGTAGTCTTATGAACACGTCTTTCTATTCTGCAGACGTTTTGGTGCGTTCGCCAATATTTCTAGGGACTCACTTTTCTGGGTATCCATTTTCAAGTGACAGTGATTTTAATTTCGCGTCCTCGAACCACAACCAGTACTCATAACCTAAATTATTTTTCCCTCACCCCCAACCGAATGACCAACAAGTCACTCTTCTATTTTTATTATCAACGCAATTGTACAGAGCCGATGCTGAAAATATTTGTTTGCAGAACTGACTTCTCAAGTTAAACTTAGATTTCTCTAGGTAAAGGATTCTTAAACGCACATGCTGGATTCACTCGGCGTGTAATGCTGTTCACAACAACTGGCCAGTATTTACTGACAGCGAAAAGGCGGTTTTGTAAACACGGTAAAAGTGCGAAAGCAAGTAGGCCAAACTCACCCGCAGAGTTGCTTCAAGGACAGCATTGTTGACGACCGCACCACCGGAGACGCGACCCTCGCCACTGTTCATGGGGTCATCGGAAAGTCCCTCGGACAGGCTCAACGTAGTGTTCTCCAGGCCAATTTGCTTTCGCAGAGAAGCCAGTCGGTCCATGAACATCTTGGGATTGGCCGCCTGATGCGAGAGATCGTCACCGGGGCCGGATATTTCACTGGTTGCCTAAAACAAAGACAAGAGCACGTGTTCAGGGCGAGCAGGAGACATGTGCCAAAAAATGTGACGTAAATCGGAAAGCGGACAGCGAATCTATCCACGTAACTAGCAAAAGGAGCAACAAACCCACATAAACTGCAGCAAAATAGCAACTACAAAACCAAAGGCTTGATGTGAGGACGCGTTTTGAAGACGGTAGACATAGTAGATGAATGACAGGAAGTGACACTCTGTTCTTTCACCCTAGGCAAAGAACGCACGTCGATCGTCAGAATCATGGTTTTATTCGTTTGAGCTTAAGAATTCTTACTGGAATCCATCGTCAGGGATAAAAACGTCAAAAAATATAAGCAACAGTTATAGGGGGCAGGGGCAAATCAATCACCAATGACGTCAGCCCAGAGGTGACTGCGAAGAGCTCTGTATGCCGGCGCCAGATCGATAAATCAGCTGACTGAGTTGTCATCCGAGGCCCAGGCCTCAATTAATTCCCTGCCTCTCTTGCTGCCGGTGTGGGCAATTATCTTCGCGGCTGCAAAGTTAAACTCGTGACCTGTCCCGTAGGGGTTGGCAGGCGCTTGTGATAATGCGTCTACTCGTCTTACAGCCTGAATTCAACTAAATGTGCCACTGTCCTACACATCCACCCTAAGTCAATAGGATCGTTCACACTGTGATCGTACATTTAAAGTCACCCCCGCTGAGAGCCATCACGATTTACCAAAGCAATTTCCTTAGAAAGACATTTCAAATTGAATCGGACGTGTGAACTTGATCATCAAAAGTCGCGCTGACAAGTCACTGAGTGTGGCCCATTCAAGAGTTGGATGCTGGCATCATGAGGCGTTAATAAAAATATGAGTATCATGCTAGCTAATATCTATCATCCAAAAGGCAGATGAATAAAAAGAATCAGCTGTTCTCTTCAGTGCGTTCGTGGTTATCCGAAATAATTTACACTGGTACGGACAGGATACACAAATATCCTTAAACTGGCGGATGCTAGTGGGGACCTCGTATCTCAGTTGGCTGTACTAAAGTCTTCCGCTTGCTGTCATGAATTCGAATCCCATCGAGGCCGCTGGGGTGTTCACGCCTGGGCAAAATGAATTATTCAAACCTACCAAAACACCACACTGAATCCGAAATCTACTCTATGGCTAAGGCAGAAGAAAGTGCAGGAGACAGCGAACGCAATGGAAAAGGCAAGCAAACGCAAATACAATCAAAGAAAACACAGTAAACAACAAGGAACCAATGGGTTTCTAAGGGAACGCAAAACTACCGTTGGCAGAGGGGACTCGTAAGGTCGAAACAGGCGGGGCATCTGTAGGGGCCTTCCGGGACCCGAAAACCTCATCTTAGGTGGGGAAAGAAGTTGGCAGTGGGCAGCGTGAAGAAGGAAAGGCGAGGGCGAACACAACCAATCGAGGGAATCAAAAAGGCTCCTAGGAGCTTGCACAGTGTTAAGAGAAAATAG